TCATATTTATCCCTTAACCTTAAACTGAAGCATCGGATATTTTTATTCTCGTGAAATCATATAGATACACGTAATATGAATGGAATATATAACACTTCATTTGTGCTAATAATACTCAGAATTCATGCTTTATCGGTAACGTCGGGTATTGACACTAAAATGGTAACAGGGCTACGTAGCCCTATGAACGTGGGACAGAAAAAAACATTGGATGATAGGTCTATTCTATACCTAGTCGGTGGTTGTATCGTTTAGGGGGACACATTCTGTAATGCATATATATTTTTGCAAGTGGAGGTGTTTCGGAGATTTGAAGGTCAATTTCGGTTTTTTAAATGGAATGCTATATTTTTTATGCCAAAATATCGAAGAGCGTTAAATTTGGAGTAAAAAAGTAATAATATCAGCCGTAAACCTAATAATCAACGAATAATTTCACTTTGTCTCTTGAAAATGGTCTGTACGTAATATCAAATTGAAGATTCAATACTCCATACCAGTAAAGATTTTCGTAAGACTAAGGCCGGTATTCATAGTCGCTGCGTATTCTTATGCATTTGCTTAAGAACACGGTCGCATATACAGGTCCGAACTCCCGTGGTGAGGGTAATCCCTTAATAAAGACCAAAATTTCATGAATCTTCCGCTAGCTACACAGAGCTGCAATCGATGCGTCCATACAAAAACGCATGCTGATGCAGCGCACGGTCGCATACCTCGTCGGTGCTGTTGCGCCACTTTTTCCCCTAGTGGAAGCCGACTTTGCTCGTGGGTGTACATGTATTTAGATGAATTTCAACACCCGACTTTCTCGAAAACGAAATTTCAAACGAAAAAAATTTCTTCTTTTTTTTTTACTTATTTTTTTCTTATAAAATCACCTGCTCAGTTGTGACTATCTGACATTAAGACTTCCTGTATATTGAGAAGTAAGTGTTCGACAATGGTGTTTCATTTAAGGGGGCATTCATTTTTATTGCTGACAAAAACAGGTGAAATTTTAAGTAACTGTAAGGCATTTTGATCTTTAACTCTGTGCACACATTTCCATATGTTTATGGAGGATAGTTATATTTTTGTGTTAAAACAATTCAATGCCAAAGAAGTTTTAACTGTCTAGATGTTTTTCGTAAAGTAATTTGTAGATTATAGATTTTATATGCATGTTCTGTATACATATCGTTATAACCCGACGATAGAATTGTGAAAATACCTTTAACATTGATTTTAGTGTAATAAATTAAAGTTGAAAAATTTGTTGAAAGATCGGTATCTGTGGTCTCATGTACCACAATTTTGATTCGCCTATTTTAGTACGACTGATTGTTGTAGGGGATACAAGAATAAGTTTACAGGCACAAGTGATAGGAACTTTTTGTTTTATATCGTCATCATGGCAACCATGCGAAAGCATAAGACTAGAGATTCTGTAATATCGATAACTTTTTTAATGTTAATTCTTTTTCCCATATGAAAATTTCCAAATATTTTTCAAACGTATATAAATATATGGACAAAGCTGAAGATAAGTGTTTTTTTAGTTATTACAAAACAAATTGGAAAGATACACATATCTTTTACCTCACAAGAAACCTGTAATAATTGTGAAAATACAAAGTTACTATTTTATTTCAATAACTTTGGTAAATCTGTAATACCTGTAACAATTGCAACAAAATTAAGAGAAATTAGTCACTGTACTGAAATTCGATAAAGATCACGTGAATGCGTATTTTGTTCGTGTACAGGCTCAGTGGCGACATCCTTAAATCACAACGACTGTTCTGAACGTTAAAAAAATACACGTTAACAATCTACATGTTAATAATACACATATATCGGCAACATATCCACTAATGCTTAGTCAAACTGAAACTCGAAAAGCGTTAGAACGGCTCTTTCTCGAATCACGAAATAAAACGAACAAGGAACTGAGAAATACTTCGAGTGAATCACCACTGTATTCAGAAGGAGCAGATCGTTTATTTCATCGAGACACTGTTATTATAGAAGAGCGACAACGTCAATAAACACGTATTACCCACGAGATACAAGTAGAACGAGACACGAAGATATATGTATACATATATGTATACATATATACAATATATATGTATATATACATACAATACATATATGTATATATATGTATATATATATATATATAGGCTAAAGACTTTTTTTCCGCAGGTACAACAATACCAGAAATATATGGACGGACTAACAGACAGAAGAGAAAAAGTAGGCTCGAAAAAATCGAGATGTATATTCGGAACAACCACAAAAAAAAAAAATAATATGGCAACGTCTGATGACACGTTCAAGTCTTTAAGATTATCACAGCCTCGTTTCGAAGGATAAATTGCACACACCTCTTACGAATGAAACGCGCGCGCGGGACACGAGTAAAATAATACCCGGTCTGTGTATGTGTGTATGTGTGTGTGTCCTTTTCTCAACGCCACAGGCGGCGGAGAAAGGAAACACGGTCCCTCGAGTCCCTCCGTCGTATCGACACCACCACCACCACCGAGAAGAAAAACAAAAAAAATACTGTTCTGACTAGAGACGGTGGATTTAGAAGGCGATCACCATCCGAATATTCCTGTCGAGCGAAACGATCTGTCGTCCAGACCCCTGAGGAACAAAAAATCCCCGCGATGGATCGCGACGTCGCGACCTTACTATACCAAATGCGTGAACATGGGCTTTCGATTAATGGACACCAGGGTCGTTGGGATCCGAGCCGTGGTATCCGAGAAGCCCTTGGTATCTACCTACGAACGGTGGTCGACGTCCGCTAATAGGGTTTCGATGCATCCTTGGATCGTTTCAGCTGGACCTTCAGCCGTTTCATGCCGACCTGGAAACCGTTCATCGCCTGAATCGCTGCCTGCGCGCTCGCCGCGTTGTCGTACGACACGAAACCTGAAAACAATTCGCGACAGTAACATTATTAGACGTTCCCAGTTCTCATAATAACGATCGGTATACAGGAAAGACTCCATGAGAGTTTCAAACTCGGGTTTTGCTTGAAAACTTTCACGATGCACCGCGGATTGTTTCAACAGCTCACAAATCTATAATTTGCTCGAAGCCTGACCCTCGGCAACAAAAACGAAGAGGAGGAGGGGGGGGGGTATAAATTATGCGCTTGGAGGAACTTCTTACCCAACTCTCATCGAGTCTTTACTGTATTTATACACTGATACGTTGAGAGTTATTATACAGGATGTCGCGCTTAACGTGAGGACCTTTAATGTCTTAGTTGATTTTGAAGTTACAACAAAATGCGAGTAGACAATGTTATATGGTTGGAAGGGGCAAGTACTGTGATAAATGAAAGATTTTTCTCAAGGTTATATTTTTCGAATTTTTTAGGTCACTGGTGTTTTTTTTTAAATGGGACTACATACTTTTATCATTGTGGCATAATAGTTGAGGTCAAGACCAATCCAATGTCCTATAGTACTGTGACCTTCATTTCACCTTGAATTACGGAAAATCCACAAATGTAAGGAAGTAGATTTTAATAATGAAGCAACTACGATAGAGGGATTAGTGAAAAAATGTGTCCAAGCTGATGGACATGATTTTGAACATTTGTTAAAATCATTTTTCTGAACATCAAAAATAAGTGAGATATTTAAGGTGCTCACGTTAGGTGGGACACACTGTATAAACATTATCCAATTTGCACCTAGCCTTCATAATGGGAAATGGTTCGTATCACAGAAATATATTTTGACATTATGTTATTCTATTTATCACAAAAAAATATAGAAAAATTGAACAGAAATGTTTACTCTATAAAAAATGCACAAGATATAGGAAGAACAGAGAAAGAAGCATTTTTTGATTACTTTATGTATTGTGGTAATTTTCCGCTTATCGGTGTAAATGGTTTATAAACGTAATAGTTACACCATGGATGTTTATACAGATTTACAGCTGCAGTTGTTAGTTTATAAAAACATTGAAATTATTGTTATTATTTAGTATGTTTATACGTTGAGTGTCTGCGTGAGCCATCAGTAAGCCACGTTGGAGTTTGCGCTCAGTTCGTTATAGGGTCATTCCAGATCAAGCGTACCATTTTTAAACCCAATGATTTTGCTCATATGGAAATATCGTATGGTGCATGCGAAAATAAGGTGGGTTTAAGTAATAATTTCGTTAATTTCGAAATCGTTTAAAAGATACAGACCCTCAAAGTTGAAAACTTTCATCGGTTTTTACGAAACTACGTTCACAATAGAATTTTTTTCATCGCAATTATGAAAGACACGAACTTCATTTCTCTCTCATCTTAATCGTAAAGAATCGTTCTTTTCTGTTAAATTCGTTTTATACGTAAAGTAATCTTTGCAATGCAAAGATGTTGAAAATATTTCTATTTTGCAAACTGGACCCTCGGTTTAAATCATAAAAATGTGAAAAAAAAACATGTTCGTATTCTGTGATCTTTTCTCTTCAAAATCCATTGTTTTAATTCGCGGAGTCTCTAAAATTGTGGTCGAAGTTAGCCGACAAAAGTCGTGGCATTCGGCAACGGAAGAAAGCCAGTAGGTAGACTCGGAAAACTAGATGTCCTTTGTAGTATAGGCGACATTAATTAAGCCACGGAGTATTGTAGTCAGTTTTATTATTTTCCTGTGTTCTAATTCCGTTTTCAAAGTACTAAATTTATGAATTTACGATGCTACTTTTTTACGCGATCTAAATACATGACTGGATAATGGAGACTAGCCTATCACGAGAATTAACGTCTTCATTACGTTTACTACACTTTTATTTTGCGTTTTGCGTGTTCGATTACTTTCGGAGCTATAACTATTTTCAAACTGAGGATTAACGATACCCGATGGACTTGCTTGTGGAGACGTTCTGTTTGCCCCAGATGTAAATTGTTCTGATAATATTCCATCTTCAGATCGTGTTTTTTCCGGATTTTAACGCCATTTGACACGTAACACCATAGGGAAAGAAAGGACTGATGGATGGTGGTAATCTACGTAAGCTTTGACTTACATGAGAATTTGAGGGAAGTTGGAATAGATCGCAACACAACCGTTGGACAATTTCCAGTCTACGAATTCTGCACTGAACACATCGAGAGTTCTTTGAAGACTAATTCTTAGGTATAGAGGATTCACAAATATATACGCAGAACGTCTTACTAATCTGCAGAACCCTAATAAAACATCTATGAACCGTTATTATTGCCTTTTATTTATTTCTTTTTTGGCCTTTTAAAAGATGGTCATCAGAACATAACAGTAATGATGAAGTCAGAGAAGAATTAGGACACAGGGAAATAATAAAAATGCTTATTCCGGGGAATACCAACAATCTCATTTCGTCGGCTACAATACTATACGACATAATTAATATCGTTGATAGTACAAAGGCCTTTGGGTTTTCCGAGACTACCTGAGGAAAGCAATCGAACGGGCGGCGTGTTCACCTGAATCACCAGGCGCCACGACCTTTGTCGGTCTGCTCCGACCACAATTTTAGAGTGTCCATGAATTACAGAAATTAATTTTAAAGCGGAAAGATCGAAAATGATTTTACAAAGCAAAGAGTAACACTAGAGTTATTTTCAGTATTTTTGTATTGCAAACAACTTTACGTATAAAACAAAGTTAGTCAAAAAGAACGATCCTTTCTGATTAGAATGAAATAAAAATGAAGTATCTTTTATACCTGCGGGGATAATTATTTTGTGAAGGTTGTTCTCATCAAAATCGGTGAAAATTGTCAACTTTGAGGGTCTGTTTTTGAAATAATTTCTTAACCATCCCTATTTTCACGTGGACTATAACATGTTTCAATTTGACCTACATCCCAGACATCGTGTACAAAAATTATACACTTGGCCTGGAATGATCCTATAAAAAAGAACATATTATGAAATATTTTGATGATATCATTTAATTGATACATAATTATCATGAGTAAAGTTCAGTTATTATTAATTTATAATTACTTAATTATCATTAAGTTATAATTATTTTTGTAGTCTTCATAGAATAAATAAAGTAACGCAGACCACATCGGTGGCCCACGGAGTGTGAATGGAAAATCACTAGAATTTGTAATGAAACAATATAGGAATTGTAGTGAATATTATTAAAATCTGTATCGTACTGCTTTGTTTGTTAGAAGATACTATAAGTATTAATTACCGTGAGCAAAAATACAGCATAGCGAGGAAAGAAGAATACCAGGTGACAGAAAAACGAACAAGAATGTAGAACAATAATTGAAGAAAAGACTACAATCGTGAAATTACGAAGAAAAATGGCAAAGAAACAAGCAGTAACACAACATAATTACTATAATCATCGTCATGAATCAACGGGATTAATTAAAAAAAAAACGAACTCCTTGTTTAATTCTTTGTTTTGTGATTCTTTTTCTGGTGACCGTGATAACTGTTAAATTCAATGGAATTAAAATTTAAAGTTCATTCAAGGTAAGGTTGTTTCATGGTTCTTTCAAAAATATATTGTAAGGGTATATTTACTTTAAAAGTTAAATATTGATAACAGCCAAATAGTATATTATGTAATTAACTGAATAATATTCATAATATTCCGACTTGCGGGTTTCAATTTCAAAAATAAATAAGATATTGGATACTTTTGAGATGTAGTGTTAATCGATTTGAAGTAAAATCGAGTTTTCAGAACTGGTAAAATGTAACGAAAGGCTTCATTTCAATCTTACACCTAAAAATGGTCTTACTTTTCTTATTCATTGAGTTGCAGTCTGCTTCTTTAATAATTGAAGCTTGATGTTATGAAAAACTAAATAAAGGAAAATTTATTCCGATAAGTGTAGTTTCAATTAAGCAAAGACACGAGGAATTAATACATTTATATACACATGTTGAGAAATAAGCATTCAATAATAGTGTTTTGTTCAAGACTGTATTCATTTTTTTTGGATGTCGAAAATAGGTAACGTTTTTGTTTAAGTAACTAAAATGTATCTTAATTTACACCTTTCAGCATATATGTATTTATATATGAGCCTATGATTATGAAAGTGTTGTGTGTAAGTCATGCATTGTTCGCTACGAAATATTTAAACTTTTGCGTTTAGACGTATTAAACAATTTTTTCCATGATGAGAAAAAATGTTTCACAAACCACACGTTCATCTAATGCGAAACTTATCTATAATTGTAAAATTATATAAGTAACTTGTACGAAACTATGCTTTGCAATGACATACCATTTTCCAAACAAGTTAGAAACAAACATATTTATTTATCTGTGATAATTATAATTTTGCTTAATCAATCTCTATTAATATTCTGCTTCAACAATAAAATTTTCAGTTTCTGATATTTTAAGGGTTTTAAAATATTCGTGATGAATTGGCGGAACGTAAGGTAGTAAATCCATTATGCCTCTGTATTTTTCTTTTGTCACCGGCCTTGTAGTTGCATATAATGAAGGTGATTGCACAGTATAAGACCATACTTAGAGAGAATAAATGACTACACCACTATCGAAATAAACGTAAAACTATGCGGCTCATTATCGAAAACATTCATGTCATTACTTATTTTACGGCTATATTGCAAAAAGTTCTTTTACACTATTGAAATATAAATTGATGTAACACTAAATAAGAGAAAAATTAATTTTTCTCGTTCTTCTTCACTTACACCACATTCATAATCACCGGCACGTACAGTCTTGGCCAAAACTGTCAGGCACCACATAAAATATGAACATTTTAAAAACTATTTTTGTATTAGGAGGTAACCAAACAATTGAAATGTGAAAAGAATCATTTCTTAATATTTTTGTCAATATTTTCTTGGGTCACTCTTTGCACTAACGACTGACAGTCACAGCAATTTCCTTTTGACTTCTACTCTGTTCTTTTAAAAAAAAATAGAATTAACTTACGTTAATGGTTAATCAGCTCATTCTTTTTTGGCATATTTCAAGGAAAACTTGCTATGTTTCATAATATCACCAATAAAACTAACAACAAGTTGATGTGTGTTAGCAACGAGTACAGACAGTAGACTATAATTTCCAGGAGGAAACATAAAATTTAGACTATAGATCGCTCAGTTGCTTTCTGGCTCACTATAAAATTTGTCAACTGAACAATAGAAAGGTTTTACAGAAATAGCCTTCGCAGCAAGCTGTAATAACAAAGGTGCCTAATACTTTTGGCCAAGGTTGTATGCGTATGCAAGGCTAATACACAGAATGTTCGCGCTAACAGTGTACAGTCCGTTTTTTCCTAAACTATTTGAAATACGAGAAAACTGTTATCATAAAATTAACGAGCTATGGCGAACTTTTTTTAACATTATTATTTTGAGAGATATGAAGGTCCAGTTTGGTTTTTTAAATGGAATTATAAATTTTTTTTAGATCACTTGATAGTGCGTTCCAACACGAATTCAGTAACCGTTAACATATACACACTTCTTCAAATAGATTCGAGATATTGTGTTTACAAATTTACTGATTTACGTGGCACTTGAGGCGCTAACAAGATCACCTCCTGTTTTTCTTATTCGTGCAGGTTTTCTTCCGTTAAAAATCAGTAAACTTGTAAGCGCAATATCTCGAAACTATTTGAAAAAAGGATATATACAAGGTGTCCCAAAAAGATGGGATAATTCGTGACATGGATATTCCTTACGCAAATAAAAATCGAAAAGTCCTTTACCGTTTTGTAATCTGAAGCTCCATTTCCGAGACATTAGCAGTTAAACGAACTTGACTTAGCAGTGAAAGATCAGCTGAGCGGTGGGTCACACCTAAGCACCAACACAGTCAAGAAGGAGACGCCAGTGATTTGGGTTGTGCGCTTCTTGACTGTGTCGGCACGTATGTGTGAAATCGTTTAACTGCTAATGTCACGGAAACGAAGCTTCAGATTGTAAAATGGTAAAGGACTTTTAGATTTGTATTTGCATGAGAAATATCCATCCATTTGGGACACCCTGTATATTAAAGGTTACTGAATTCGTCTTGAAACGCATTACATATCGAGTGATCTAAATATACAATACAGGGTGAACCACGAATCGTGATCAGTAGAGATTACTCTGTTATTAGCAGTCTGATCGAAAATGTTTTTATCAGGTATAGCATGGTTTCAAGAGAGCTTTAACGCGATTATAGCAAATTTCTTGTCAACTCTTTTTTTTTCATGATTTTTCAAGGTTACCTTCAATTTTTTGCAAATACACCTATACATTTTTTACGTCTAACACATGTTATGTTATGATACTTACCGAATTCGTCTTCAAATCCCCTACCAGATAGGCGTGAAAAAAATTATAGGTGTATTTGCAAAAAATTGAAGGTGACCTTGAAAAATCATGAAAAAAAAAAAGAGTTGACAAGAAATATGCTATAATCACGTTAAAACTCTCTTGAAACCATGCTATACATGATAAAAACATTTTCGATCGGACTGCTAATAACAGAGTAATCTCTACTGGTCATTATTCGTGATTCACCCTGTATATGTATATACATACATATAATTCCATTTAAGAACAAAACATGACCATCATATCTCTTAAAATAACTATGTCAACAAAAAATACGCTATAGTTCGTTAATTAGGCCTCGTATTTCAAATAGTTTAGGAAATAACAGACTGTATACTGTTAGCGTGGACACGATGTATAGACTCGAGACTTCTCTAATGGGCTTCGTGTGACTTACCGAAGCATTTGCTCAGTTGTGTTTGCTTGTCGATGAAGACCTTGGCAGAGATAACATTCCCGAACGGCAGAAACGTTGTGACGAGGTCAGTATCGCTGAACTCCTGCGGTAAATGGTAGATAAACAGGTTGCAACCCTCGGGACCTTCAATCTGCTTATCGGTGGTGACGAATTTCGCTTTCTGAGCCGCCGCCGCGGCCGCAGCCGCCGCTGCCGTGAAAGCTGGGAACCCTGAAAACGCAATCGTTCGTCACTCTATGTCCCCTTAAATCGTTCCTCAAGAAACTCATTGTTTCGTTACAATCCACAAGGTTCGCTTCCAATCAAGTCATTATTATCGAAAATATATTGTTGAAACTGAACTTTCCGTCGTTTTATTTTTGTGATTGTTCGAACATTTTCGTGGAATGTCAGTTGTACCAGTGTCGCTTATTAGTTTTAATTATGTTTGAAGAGTGACCGCAATTGTCTGGTAAGTATACATTGCGTATCTTGTGAGTTGAAACTGCATCGTACGCGTGGATTGTTCAATAACTAGAGACACAATCAATAATAATTTAAAAAAAAGAGGAACATACATGCCTTAAGTACTTATTACATGCTGGGGAATAATTTAGATTATTTAAGAAAGCAAACGTACGAGAATCGAATGTCTGTATTTAACGATTTGAGTTCGGCGACGGTGTTGACCACGCATTGAATTTATTGAAACGCGACTGTGTGTGGTATGCAGGGTAAGAGTGTAATTCTACAAGCAAAAATAAGTCGAAAATGTAGAACAGTATTTTTTGGTACGATACTTCCTTTTCGAGAAAATTTAATTTGAATACAGTAAATCATCGAGGAGTGTTTGAAGGCTCGTCAGCAGTGACAAGGAGGGGTCCCCAGGTGTAACGCTGACTTTTTAACACGTTAAATGCCGCAGGATTTTCGTACACTTCAGCCACAGTGTCGAAAAGAAATTTTCGTTACACAGAGTGCAGAAGAATAAAATCTTGAATAAAATTATTAAAGTCCACTATGTTATAATACTTTTGGCATTTAATTTGTAGAAGTTTACCGATTTATGGTCCAATATTAATAATATCGAAAAGTATACTCCCTAGAGTGGGGGTCACCGGTGACCCCCACGGCATTCAACGTATTAATGAAGTTCAGTGTAGTGATAGAGCTTTGAATTCTGAAGTCAATGGTATTTGTTTGAACCGCATATGGTCATTAGATTATGAAATATTTAATGTTCAATACCGTGGAGCCTTCAAACACTTATCGAGAATTTACTGTACCTGCTGGATACGCGTGCAATTGAATGGGACTTTGGTAACACGTCTGTTCATAGCATTTTGTTTCTATTTACTGTGATTATGGATGCATACGCGTTAAATGAATTTTGAAAATTGATTATCTTGGAAACAAAGAATAGTAAAAAAATGTTATTCTACATTTTCGATCTATTTTTGCATGTAGAATCAAATACTTTCGGGTTGTACCATCATTTCGAAAACACCCCGTATAGAGATAGTTCTCTTTCACGTTTACGTTCTTTTGCTCATCGAAGAAACCACATACACTCGGTGTAAGTAGCTTGCGGATGTTTATGTGTGCATATCATATTATATAATATGCATTGTAAATCATTTTTTTGTAGCTAATTCGATTAAATTGAAAACTGAATATAAGTTCATCATTTATGACGAATTGTATTGTACAAATGTTAAAATGAAATTAACATATTGTACAAATATTAAAATGAAATCAATATATTGTACAAGTATTAAAATGAAATCAGTATTGAAACTTTCATAAAATTCACAATAAAATCATAAGAACAGTAACCCATCACAAGATTCGAATTTTATATTCTGCTCGTTGCCGCTGTCGGCACAATTATAATTACTGTATTAGTATTTTCTTATTTTTTTCATCTATATTTATGAAACCATTATTAATCAATTGGTGAGGTTTTACTAATGAAAACCAGACCGAATCACGACAATATTTGTATCATTTTGTGATATACCTGCTTCCAATAATTGAAGAGTGCTCGTAGAAAACACTGTAAATGCTAATGTTGCAAAATTTACTTTTTTTTTTATCGAAAAATGTTCTACGTGCCAATGGAAATACTGTAGTATAGAAATTGATTTTAATTACTATTATTTAATGAATGAAAGCGTTATTATTATAAATATAACGTAGAAGTTAGTCGAGTGACGATTTTGTTTCGACATTGTCATGTTCAGTTAGGAAAATCTCACAAATTCATTGGTAGTGTTTCATAAATATACAGGGTGTCTCATTTAAATCGACCCACTCGAATATCTTCGAAACTGTTGACGATATTAAACATTGTTTCAGACAAAAGTTAAATGTTATCTCAAGGTCATATAAAGGTCAATTCTGTTTTTGAAATGGAATTGTATATTTTTTAATGCACCAATTCGCCATACGTGACTTATTGTGTGTACTTTATGTAGAGAATAACGAGTCACATCAAGTGGCGCATAAAAAAATATACGATTCCATTTAAAGAAACAAATCATATGACCTCTGCGCGTCCACATAGAAAAAAGTTACCCACATCAAAACGTGTGCCCCCGATACCATTTAACTTTTGTCTGAAACATTTTTTAATACCATCAATAGTTTCGGAGGTGTTGGAGTGGGCCGATTTGAATGAGACACCCTGTATTCATAATGCAAAATAAGGGAATTCTTTGTGTTACATTATTAGCTGACACACGGATACGTTGTTCGATACAATATCGTTTTCCATCCTCATCCAATTTACTCATTCAGAATTTTCTGTGACTAGTGAAACAACTTTCTCGAATTTCGTGTTGCGTTACTGTATCCCCCGCTCGATCGAGTAATCATCGAAACAGGTGCAACGGAAGCAGAATAGAAAACTGAAATGTTCCCGGTGTTTTATCGTATAAGAATCGAATTCAAGGCATTCCACTCGTGTTACTCACTATGCAATTCTTTCTTTTCCATGGTCACCGTCGTCTTTCCAATGAGAGCTTTAAGGCGCACAGTCACACGGTTAGAACAACACAATTCACGATCGATGCGCAAGTGGTATGAACAAGTAGCGATAGCTCGCCGTTTTATATAATTTAACCAGTGTACGAGACCGATAACACTGACCTGCGTATTGTTGTAAGCTTGAGTAGGCGTTGTTCAACGAGTCCTGCAGCCCGTTCAAAGGTGTCCCCGTTAGGGAATTGAGCGTTAAAGAGGTCACAGGACTGAGACTACCGCCGGTGGACCCTTGAAAATCGAAATCGATCACAAATTAGCAATTATTTAACCGACGATTGATCCACGATCGCTACAGCCGTACCCACGACTAACAATAATTTCAACGTTTGAAAAATAATTCCCCGAATTGACATGCCTCATGCTACACCGACAAAAAATTCCAAAAAAAAGAAAAAAAATAAAAGTATATATGTATACGAAAAATAAACCTCTCTTACCGTCCACTATACTGTGATATATGTATACTTGTTAATAATGCGAATAAGCACGCGCGCGCGCGCACGCGTGCCCCTAATTGGTTATATTTTATATACAGAAAGCGTTTGCGTACACGATCACGTTAAACTATTAAATACATTGATGGCGAGCGCAACGGTTTACTAGGACACGGATTATTGTTAAAATTAATCCTCGAGGGAGAGAATTGTTCGATCCCGCCCCCGGGATGCCTGATAATTATTCAAGTTTTTGGGGTATTCCAGAAGCGGAAGCTCGTAGCTCATCGAATTCAATTATATTTCCAATACTGATCGCGGAAAGAACGGATCTCCTTCGTTGCGCAACATTTCGATCATTACGAAACGATGCACACCGGTATCAAGCTTTAATTAATACAGAACGGACGACGAGCAGTTCACCCCTACAACACTGGGTGTCGTTCGTTGTATCGATTAAACGGCCAACAAGTAATTACAAATCGAATTAGTGTGTGATGCAATATGTATGTACATGTCTCTATGGTTGGTGCATACGGGACAGGAGACAGCGAGGATGATAGCAGAATTACCAGAGAAAATGAGAGACACGTTGAACGAAATAGATAGAAAGAGAACGAGAGAGATAGAGAAGAAAAAAAAAAGAAAGAGGGAAGAAACGAACGAACGAGAGAGCCAGCTTCAATGGTATCTTTCTCACCTGTGTTTCCGCTCTTTCCAAGAAGGACAGCTACGCACGGAAAAAAAAATGTGCACATTAAAACGCTGACACGTGCGTCCGCATGAGAGGTACGATAGATATTTTAGAGAGAGAGAGAGAGAGAGAGAGAGAGAGAGAGAGAGAGAGAGAGAGAGAGAGTAAAAATTAAACAAAATATCTTTATGGATCCCGAGGAACGTGGAATCGACGTGATCTTCGTGATGATTTCCGAGCAAATATGGCGGACATCGCTCGATCGTGACACGGGTGACCAATTTCGGTTAAAAATGATCGTTAATAGGGTGGGGAGGAGGAAAAGGTCCGTCGGACAATGGAGCCAGACACGACAGTCGATCAAGTGTATTGTGCGAATTTTATGAGGGCGTAAATTCATGGATTTCCGACTACTCAATCTGCCGCGTTAACTATTCGAGGCACAGATTTTTATTTGTATATATTTTTTTCAACCCCCTAGTGTATTGGGGTCGTTTTATTATAGAATAATTGATAAATATGATTTTGAATTTTAATTTGTTTTATTCTGTCTAAAAAAAAAAAAAATGAATGAGAAGAAGAATTATAGGTACATGTTTTTTGTGTGTGAACTACGGCTTGAAAACTGTTATGGTATCGATTAACACGTTGATTACCATTGTGGTCGCCGTAGACCGGAGCCATTAAATTACATAAAGAAATATTCAATTTCTAAACAGGAACATTTAGCATCTTGTAAATATAATAAGTATAATTTGAAACAAGACAAACAGTCTCTATTAACTAAACGCATACGTACGGCCCTTTTCACTGTGGCAATCAACGTGGTTCTGGAAACAGTTCTGAAGAACCTTTGTTCTGAATAACTGTTATGAAGAACCTAAATTTCAGACTATGTCAGTCTACGTTACGGTTATTGTATCAGCTCCCGTAACAGTTCTATAACCGTTATTTTTTAGGTTCTATATAAGTTCTAAAACGGTTATAGAACCGATTCTCGTAACGATTGTACAGAATTCTACAGTAAATGGAATCACAGCATATTACAGCCATAGATTACTATGTACATATAAGTAAAATTTTTGAAAATTGTTATGAATAAGGAAATAAATTCTTATGTAGACATTTGTGTATATACAATTGTTTTGTAATATAAAAGGCGTTCGTGAATATAAATTTTTAACTAAAATTTTACAATATTTCACAAAAAGTATGCTTATATGTATACAGTAGTTTATAAGCGTAATATGTCGTGATCATTTACTTTAAAATTCTGTACATTCGTTATGAGAATCGGTTCTGTAACTGTTTTGAAACTTATACAACTAAACTGTATAGAACCAAAAAATAATGGTTATACAACTGATTTAAGAACCGTAACTGAAACTGATGTAGTCTGACATCGTAGTATGAAAAACGGCCAGTTTCATACTTTCCGACCGAGGTAGTAGAGTAGTCATTGGGTGACGCGATGATATTGAAATCAAAATATAAAGAGAGACAGAGGCTGGTAGGAAGAGAGATGTGGTAAAATGCACAGATTTACGTGCGGATGGACTGCTAGTCGTATACCACTGTCCAGGGATGACCGTTTTATTTTCCTATTTTTATTTTATTTTACTATCTGCATTTTCTGACGGTATAGAGTCACCTGAAAATTCTTGATTCGATTTTCTCTATATTGATTTTGTTCGGCGAATGAAAGATCACTTTGTTACAATGGCAATGGCCAGTATTTGTAAATCTTTGCATTAAGAATTTTAAAACATTTGATGCAAAATGTTCGATTGTAATAGGTACGACGATTACTTTGAAATATTATTTTGTTTACAATATTATTTTTACATTTTTTCGAATTTTTGCTATTTGATGTTTTGTACACTGAAAACGTGTAGGTTTATTCGTTAAAGTCATTCATCAATCACAACTATTTAATATATCAAGTTTTTTTTAAATATAATAAATGCCGTATGTGCACACATTGCACGTTTATAAAATTTTTTGTACAATTCTCCATCCCCAAGGCTACGTTTAGTGGAGTTTTTGGTAAGGGTCAAAATGACGCCTGCATTCGTTCACACGTCGTGTTTGTACCATTTTCATCTTTCTGGTTAATACTAGATTATCTAACGTCGAATCAATACTAAATTGAAATGTATCACGTATTAACACGTATAATACAATATAATGTAAAATCTGTAATAAACTCAAAGTCAACATGAATTCCGACAAAAGCGGCCTTTACGATTTCAAGGATCGTGAAACAAGAGATTTGAAATTTGCCATTATGACGGATTCGATAGTGTTAAGAGAAAGGGAACTCTAGTAAAAAGTAAGTTCTTTGAATAATTATACGAACTCTACTATTTTCAATGCTTCTTCATGATGTATTATTAGTTCTATTATTATTGTATTTGTTCCTAGTATGACAAGACTTTTACCAAGCACCATTATTTCTATTATGTGTATAATATTTCTTCGTCGAAAATATTTATGAAACTGAACAATCGCTATTGCTGGGGGGGCAGAGAAGGGCGCTTGCCCCCCCCCCAACCTAACCTAAAAAGTGGCCTTTGCCTTACCCCAGAGGAGAAAAAATTGGATTTTGCGCCCCCTCCGCCGCCACAGGAGAAAAATATTATATTAAGTAATATTTTGTATGTAAAAATAAATCTCAAATTTATTTGAAGTAATATTATGAAATTATTCCTCCCCCTCCCCTCTTACTAATAACCTACATAGATACGCCCATGTTTCTACAACTTCTTACCATTCCTTCGGGAAAAAATTAAATCCTCATTGACACAGTAAAAATCTAAATGCAGATTCCCCACATATTTTACAATAGCTCGTTCAATGTAACCAGTAAAAACAGGTATAATGTTAAAAATGAAGTCATCCCACAGTGTATATACGATTAGTAACTGATCGTAAACACGTAACGAGTTGTACGGGCACGAGACTGGTTTGCTCATCGATGCATGTCCATTCCACACGTAATGTCTGTCGATTGACAAGCGATATAATCGAGCGGTGAACGAGATTAGAAACCGTCTAAACGATCGAAATTAATTTAGTAATTGTTAATACTATACCAGGCAATGCGACACGTACATAGCGACATACCTGCTGTCGAATTCGCCAGTCCGCTTAACGCTGAAACACAGAACACGTTCACGGTATTAACAAGCGGAGTTAGTGACATGTTTTACATATTCAGCACGTAAACTTCGGCGAAATTTACTTATGGCTGTTACCCATCACGATATACAAGATTATTCGTCGGGCAATGTTGGCCATTGCTCGATGAAGATTACTGCCGTGGGCGTGTCTTCGAGCAGAGAATTAATTCGACGATACAACAACGATACGAAATGAACATTGACACATACATACACACACACACACACACGCACACACACACACACACACACACACACACACACAAAGAACAGCGTGCTTTCTCTAGAAAGAATACACAAACAAACATACTTTGATGTTACCCTGGAAGAACTTCCGTGGCCTGGATTAAGTTTTCAATATCAACGGAAGTTACATTTGGGGATCAGAAGTCAAGAACTGTTTTATATCGATTAATTCACGGTTCTCGAAACAGTTTCGTAAGAACCGTTACATACTGTGACAGTCATAAAGAACCGAAATTGACGCGTATAACGATTCCGGTTACGGTTCTAACATCGATTCTGTATCAGTTCTACAGTAATGTCTCGATGAGTGCGACAAACTCGAGTCTGCTTCGGAGCATTCGTGGCAAGGCGGAAAGGTTTTCAGCCCCCCATAAATGTATTTTTTTTTGCAGGAAGCTGAATCTCTGCTTAGCTTCTGTTTAGTTTGTTTTGATTGGCTCCAGAGGGAGACCCCACCACTGGCAAGAATAACACCGTTGTTCGTGTCGCATTCATCGAGGAGTCACTGCATACTGTCCATGGATGAATAAATTTCAAATGTAGCAAGGAAAGAAGATAGAGTTTTCCGAAATATCTAAAATAGTGGCAACTGTATAAATTACTAAATTGGGTGGATGCACCAGTAAATCAACACGAACAGTGAATGAACATTATATGTACAACCGAGTACATTAAGTTATTAAAATAAGCAAGTGATTAAACGTTGATTTTTTTAAATTCTTTGTTTAATATTCAAACAATTTTCACGCTATTGGTTAGCAATGTTCATTTATTTAATTATTAATTTAATTAATTACACTTTACCAATGTTCTAAATTCTAATCTATACGTTATAAAAATGTACAGATATTAAAATATCTCATTTTCATACGCTAAATATATATTAATATTATTATCGTTTAAAATTCAACTATAATACTTATAAAATCTCTTGAGTGTTCATTCGTTAATGCGTTTATCCTACGCATAAGTTAAGGGGTTCGATTGTATTTAGGGTTGAAATACATTTATGAAGCTCGATCTGTATTCTTATGTCAAGCTTATTGTTCACGTTGAATTTTGGTTCTACAGAAATTTACTTTTTTACCACTCACGTTTCCGTCTAAAATGAACCAGTATTGTATTATAATTCTGCACCGGAATCTTATGTCATTAAATTTTTGATGCGGTTGGTTTATATTTATGAAACGCTACGAATCGTGTGAATTTACCATAAAATTTACAACATCGTTTCGGTTCTGTATAACTGTTCCAGTCAGAATGTTTATGTAGCAATTATTAACGGTCATTTACGCAACTGTTTCAACCACCGTCTACGATTAAACCAAACAGATGCATACACGGTTGTCCCACAAATAACCGAATTTTTTAAAAATAAGAAAAAACTAGTTAACAGGATCTACACGAAAATATTGTCATCGAGAAATACATCCTTGATTAATATTGTGCCAAAGTTTTATGACATTTGGATCATTAGCAGCCAAGTTATAGCACCCAAAGTGACAGTATTTTTTGTCCACTGGTGAAAGATGAGCTTGAAACAAAAAGCTGGCATTAAACATCAATTTAAACTAGGTAATTTATTTATCGAACCACATCAATTGATACAAAATGTGTATGGCGATAATATATTATCTTGGACACAAGTTTACGGCTGATTTAAATGTTTCGGGGCGGGTCGAGAAGACATTAACGACGATGAATGAGTCAGGTCATCTGAGAACAGGAATCGTCGAAGTAATCAAGAAAGTGTGTGAAGCAATCAAAATTTAGCCAAAATCTTCGAAATAATTATCGAAAAATGAGCTGGGATCATCAAAATACTTTTTATTGCATTTTGATCAAGCATTTAAAACTTCGCTACGTTTGTTCCTCGCGCATTAGCTAGTGTTCAAGAATTGAAGTAAAGACATTATTAACACTTTGACTGCCACGTCACCCCACTATTGGTGACACGTACATTGCAAAGAGCTAGATTACTTAAATATCGTTTCAAAATTTTTGCGTGAAATTAATATTGCAGTATAATTTAAAACAAGACAAACAACATGTATTAACTAAACGCGTATATTTTCGACTATTTATGACTTAAAAACGGAATACAGAGAATCCTTGGTGAGTGCTCAGGGTTTTACGTGGTAGGTGAAAAGTCGTCAACACCTCATAAATTTGTTTTTCTGCGCTTTACTGGTTTCACCCCAGTGGCGGGTATAACATCGGAACAGACCTGGGCACTTCTGAGATGATATTCTTTGAAATATTATTTCGAATAACATGTTATTTTATTTTATAATTATTTCCATGCCTGTGATCACGTCTGAAATAACATTATTTGAAATGTTATTACAAATAACATGTAATTTTATTTTCTAATCAGTTGAAATAATTCTTAGAAATAATTGTGAAACTGGTCTTGGAAATTATATCAGGTAACTGGGTCTGAGCTTTGTTTATTGACATTTTTCTGAAGAGTAACACTCCTTTTCCATCTTCCATACCACTGGAACAATTAGTTTCTTTCTCGACAATATTAGATGGATTCTGCTTAAAGCAACTTGCAGGAAAGATGTCTTGAAATAAAATCTTTTTGATGCATATTATTTTGAATATGCTTTCTTTTGCCAAATTTGAAATATAAAAATAAAATAATTCATTATTTGAAATTGTTATTACGTATTTCAAATGAATCAATAATATTTTCATTTTGAAATAACAGTATTGAAAATAAAGTTCCGAAATAAATTATTTCAAATAGTTGTTTCTTATTATCATTTCAAATAAAATTTGCCCAGGTCTGCGTCTGAACACTCAGTGCCGAGGAGCCTTCGAACACTCATCGAGGATTCTCTGTAAAGCGTGTCTGACTATGTGTGGCCATTTTCACTGTCGCAGTTAACGTGATAAAGTGCTCGTAAGGACACAAAACTACATCAAATCGACTGTTACTGACTTACTTTCGGTTACTTGATTATTTTCTATTTTTCATGGCTTATTAAGAACCATGAAACGAAAGTGTTACAATGATATTCCAGACATTCAAAATGCTGCGACGAGGGTTCTCAACGACATGCCACAAAAGGACGTAGAACAGTAATTTGATACATTGCTTGACCGTGCAAATCGTTGTATCTGCTGCAGAACGAATGTATTTTGAATAAAATAAAATAGTTTTTCTGAAAAGACAGTGTTTCATTATTTTTAAAACGTTCGGTTATTTTTGGGACAGACCTTGTACTTTGATGCGGTTTCTATGATACAATTGAGCCATTCAACGAGTCACATACATATACACACGCAATACAGGACACTTTTGTTGTTACAATCGTGGACTAATATACCGGGACACGTGTCAAATATCGTCGTAAGTCACGTTGTCGTTTTAATCACGTGAAAATTTTGTTAAAATCCGCACACACGTTCATCAAATACATATTTCGTTTGAACCAGCTTGGATGCATGCTGTTATTCAAGATTTAATTGTCACGTTCAAGCGAACCTCTCCGAAAGCACGCTTCCTTGCGAGGCGATTACTGTTGTTTCTTTTCTACAGGTAGAGAGGTGAACACAATGCATGAAAATAAATATATAATCTAGCGGGTTCCCGCGGTCTCTACACTGTGCTGCCGTGCAACTTTTGCTACTCACTGTTTGGCGACACTTGAAGGTTGTTGTTCCCGCCAGTCATGGCAGCCAAGGTGACGAGGTTCTGCATACTCATCGGAGAGACTCCTGCGTTCGCTGCAACGTATTTAGTGGGGAATATGTAAAAAAGATTACATAACGTGTTACTAACGTATAAAATGATCAGGGCAGGTTGAGATAGAGTTTAAAGTTTCGAATAATTTTAAAGATCTATAAAAGGAAAAATTTTAAAGTAACCACGGCAATATTATACAATTGCCACTTTTTAGCCTCGCTGGAAATATCAAACTTTTACGTATTTACGTTTCCGATATTGTCAAATGTAAAAGCCACTTATATTCAAGAAAATCATTTCTCTTCACAGATACCATAGCGATATAAACATTAAATAATTTTGACTAATACGATAAACACTCGCATGCGTAAAAATTCTATTGTAATTGTGTCTTAAAACCCGATGACATGGAATTCTGCCTTAATAATTTTTCACTAATTTGTATGAATTAGTGAATATTAATTTGAGTAGAAATATATACTAATGTTCCTACGAATCAGTATTATTTCTGATTTAGTAGAAATACAAAAGAAAAATCATATAGAGTCTTGATTTCTATAAAATATTTCGAGAGGGTTTGTCAGTCACCCACTGATAAAAGGTGAGAAAAGTAGGTTTTATTATGTATAATAAAATTAAGAAAATTGCCAAATGACAACGAATAAAAAATGGGATTAAACACTTTCAAAATTTTAAAATGTTTTTGCGAATCATTTATATGTCGTGTGATATAGACAAAAATACGAATAAATATTTTTTTGTAGTTGTTAAATAATTTGCCAATGAAAGGGTCAACAGAATAGACGTTGCTACGTTATACATATGTAGTACATACGTATAATGGATCTACGTATTTAAGATCCCTTAGATCCCTATAGATACATGATACATAAAAATTTTACATTTCCAATGACTCTCTGCAGTTGGCCATTTTCAACCATTTTTCATCTTAGTAATGAAAAACGGCCGATAAAAGCTCTCATCGCTAAAGCTTCAGAAACTCCAGATAAACCTGCCAAGCGAACACAGGAAACGAAAGAAGTGGTGGATGAAAAATATTAGGTTGGTCCATACGAAATGTCGTTTTTCCGGAGTTTGAATTTGCCGGGCCAATAGCATCCACTAAATTTTATCCTATCTTTGACTTTTTGAATCATATTAACACTTTGACTGCTACAGTGATAAAGGCCGTATGTAGCCAGACACGCTTATCGCTATTTCGATTTTTAAGTCATAAATCGTCGAATGTACATATGTGTTTAGTTAATAGAGGCTGTTGGTCTTGTTTTAAATTATATTGCGATATTAATTTTACGAAAAAATTTTGTAAGGGTATTTAAATAATCCAGCCTCTTTGCAATGTACGTGTCACCCATATTTGGGTGACACGACAGTCAGAGTGTTAAAGAAGAAGAATAAATACGCTGTGATACACGTGTTTTGAATACAAATCAAATTTATCATAAAAATATTAAAACCTTGTTATCAGTCGTTATGAATAACCAGATATTCGTGTGACTTTTTAATATAGCATTTGCACATGGTTATGTGAATGTGAGGACAGTTCAACTTATTTCGTTCGTGAAATTCAAGGCTAGTGATTTTTCAACTTAACGTATAACCCTTTCATTCCCACACGATTTGAAAATTATAAAAGAAACATTTTGTTATATTTTTGTGTATATTACATGACATATAAGTGATTTACAAGAACATTTTAACATTCTGAAGCCGCCTGACGGGCCGTCCTTCATTCGTTGCCATTTGACAAATTTTTTACTTTTATCACAATTATTATAATAATAAACGATATATAATAATTCTCATAATAATGTTACTATACATAATGAGACCCAATTTTTCCTACCTTTGATCAATAAAACCTCTTGACATATTTTAAATAAAGCAGAGTTTTGTAAGTTTCTGTTGCATTCATAACAATACTCAACATTTGAATTCTATCAAATGAAAGAGACAAAGGCCCAATAATGTCTTATTTTACCGACAAACTTTTAAATGCACATTCAAAGTTCTGCCATAGCATTTACAAATTACTAGAAAGTACTATTACTATTATATTTATACTCACAGATTTGAAAAAATACATGATATTAATATTTCATTTCGTAATGTAAAATATGTAGCTATGTGGCAACAGTGGGAATGAAAGAGTTAAAGTGATATCATTGGAGATAATCCACAACAAACAACCAGAGAAATAGCGTTTAACCCTTTAACAGTATTTGGCGAGTATACTCGTCAAGAGGAAATGACCACTTTTTACCTAACGACGAGTATATTTGTCAAGTGAAAAAGTAAAGAAACCTTCTGCTATAAGAATTGCAACTTTAGTAAAAATTGAAAAATATATTTCTTTTATTAGAATAACAGAATCAAATGGTAACATATTTCCGAAACAAAGTGCCACCGTTAAAATGGTTAAATAGCGTCACGGAAACAACGCGTGGTTAAAATTTCATTTCGTGAAAACGACATTCCGTATATGACCAACCTGACGCAATTTTGTTCCAGGCGCTGTCAAAGATGACAAACATTCTGCAAACAATCCTGTCATTTTGCAACCGACACCAACGAGATGGTTGGGCAAGATCCGTCGCGTCATCGGCTTTAACCGTACGTTTCCCGGCAATAAGCAGTAAACACGCGTTTTAATATGAACGTTAATGGTACCGCGTCCACCGTCGATCTATCATTCCACTGGCGTGTTTCCCGAACCCATTAAACGGGAAATTTTATTATCGCGCGGACAACCGTGCGGGAAAATATACGGGATGGTTAACATGGCCTGGCCGCGAATAGTTACGAAATGCATCGTGGCGGGGAAAGCGACGCGATCAGGTCAATAATTTAGTACCCGCGGGAGGCGAACGTATTAAGTGATAACGCGAAACTTCCAGCGAGACAATAGGTACTAAATATTCAGTGTCAAGTAGTCGGTGCCGTGTACGAATCACGAGTTCTTAGCGGGTTTCTGTGAAGTTATCGAGACGGCGAAACAACGTCTATCGTTCTTTTTCGTTAGGTATGACCATAGACATATACAGGGTATAACAAAAATGTTGGAAGACCTGGAAGTGGGAGACTTATGAGGTGATTTGAAACAATTTTTTCCTTAGCGAAAATGTTCTCTGAGGTTTTGTTAACGAGATATTAAAAAAAAACCCCCGACCAATCAGAGCGCTAGTCTGACAGCGAGCTCCTGCGGTAACATTGGCTACGCACTATTTGGGGGGGGGGGGGGAATTACTTCTCGGTATTAGTTTACTCAAAAATGGTCCCAATACGTGGACCTCATCTATATTTCCACGACAAAACCCCTGGAATTATGATTTTCTATATGCGACGTATACGTCACACTGGGCGTCAAAGGCTTAATATTACTTAAAACATTAAAAAAGATTTGTTTATAAAGAATGTGTTTGCTCATAATAAATAACGAACTAATGGTCGCAATAACACCGTTTTTCTAATGTTTGCATGTCATTTAAAGAACTTTCGTACTGCCGATCGTCAAGAAACGTTCAAAAAATTGTCACCAAAGTGATAAACTAGGCGTCCACTGTAGTGGGCAAATGCAGTCAGCGGGTTTAATTGGTCCGTAGATGGGTAGTAGCACAGATGAGATATAAGAATAGACCTAACATGCAATGTAATTTTCTGTCCCATGCTTCGGGGGCGCCAGAAGCCCCCGTACCATTTCAGTATTTCCTTCCTTGCTAGCGAAACCGGGGCAATAATGTATCGCTATGTCGCGTCCGTCCGCGTGGATTCTCTTTCAAATCCGCCTGGAGTTGTAAATTCCAGGCTCGACCGTCGTGGTACGCGTACAGTCGCGACTGTTGTCCGCCAAATTAATATTAGGCAACTGTTTCAATATTCTTTAAGCAAGAATAACTAATATAATTGCTCGACCGGTGGAGCTGACGAATCGTGAGGTGAATGTTGTCGAATGACTGTTTTCGAATGAATGTTCGTGTACGAGTTACTGTTCGAGTACAAGCGAATGTTTTCGAATACGAGTGTAATGTTCGTGTACGAGTGAATGTTTTCGAATGATTGTTCGATTGCGAGAGTATGATTTCGAATACGAGTTACTGTTCGAGTACGAGTGAATGTTCGATTGCGAGAGTATGTTTACGAATAGAATTGAGCCTGTGTGACTCTTGTCGAAACGAGTACGAGTGAATGTTCGAGTACGAGTGTCAGTTTTCGAATGACTGTCGAGTTTCGTGTGACGTCGCGCTTCCTCCAAGTTCGCTGAAGGCGTTACCAAAACTCGCCTCCTTATTGGTTATGCCCTGAAGGGGAAGGCAAATTTCTCGGTTTTTCCAAGTGACGTGGAGGTGGTAAACCTCTCCTTCAGGGCGAAGCGGACGCTAGAAAAATATCGCGCACGTGGTCACGGTGCGAGTTGACCGCGACGAATTTACGAGTCTCCCAACGCGGTAGGGTTTATGGCTGTATAGTCTGCGAGTCAGCGCGCCCCGGTAAGGCCCGGCGCGGATGGGTCCCAAGTTACCATGCGCATGTGGCGGACTGCAGACCAAATGTTCGAGTCTTTTGTCTATTATTCTCCTTGTGAACGAAGTTAAATTGCAAGGGCTGGTTGCGAAAATGTATAAACTGCCCGGACGAAGGTAATAAAATAATAAAAAATAACGGTACCGTCCAACTCTAATACCGTCGTTTCGGTCTACGACGGAACAGCTATATGCAGTCACGGATGTGTGTGTGTGTGTGCTGTGCGTTATCACGGTGTCGAACGTAGTTCCTAAAATCGAAAACTTTTATGTAGAGGTGCGCTCGAACCAGCGTGATATTCGTGGGACACCATGTAAGTCCCATAAGATGTTAGGTCTATTCTTATATCTCGTCTGTGGTAGTAGTATACTGACGGCCAACAACGTCGTAACGAAAGGGTTAGAGGAAAACGAAGAGGTGAGAATGAACGTAAAAAGTAAATGAAAAGGACACCAACCATACTCACCGGCGGAGTTGCTCAACGACGCTAAGGTGGCCAAACCCTGTAGATTCGCTGGGTTGATCTCAGGTGGACTGGGGACCGCGGGCGCAGCAGCGTGCGTCGGGGTAGCAGCGCCTAGACCAAGGTGTTGTTGCAACAACAATTGATGCTGGACATTCGACAGGGCGCTCGCTCCCGCACCTGCCGCTACCGGTGTCGCCGCGCTGGTCGTCGCCTGTAGTTGTTGCAACAGTTGCAACGAAGTGGGCGCCAGAGTAGGCGTGTCGTTCTGTAAACAAAGACACGATCAGCCTGGATGAGTGCGCTACCTTATTTGGGTATGAAAGTTATTGCTGAACTACAGGTTTTATGCACCTTCAGCAGAAACTATTACTGTAAGCTGGGATTACTTTGACTCGGTAAGCGTTAACTTTGTCCCAAAATGATCATTTTGGATTTTGCAGCTCGTTTGCAGGTATTTTTACGTGAAATACCTTTTCACGTAAAGATCAATTTAAGAGTTTGCAGAACTGCAACATCGAAAATGATCATTTTATGACGTTGGGATAAAATTAACGCTGACTGGGTCAAAGATACTTCAACTTACGGTATTTGAAATTTAGGATCTTGCAATAAGAAAGTTTAATCCTGTTGTGCATTGTTCAAGCTAAGTTGACCCGAAATCGAATATTCATTTCTAAACACGCCTTTTTTTTTGTAGCAGTATCCTACAAATGAACCATTGAAAGTATTAATGGTGTAAGTTAATTTTTTAAACGTCGTAGGAACATTGCTGTAGCCTCAGTCTATCTGATGCATAAATGTTGTATGCGTAGCTTCATTGGTAACTCAACAAAAGATGTTAAATATGTCATGTCAATATGAGCTAATATTGATCTATATGAATATAATTGTCTAAATACACTCAGTATACTCTGTATAATTATCATCCTTGATTATGATGTCATCGTAGACAGTACAATCAGTGTACCCGGATATATTTATGTGAATATGTTTCTAAACCTCTAAATATCTCAAAAACATTGAACAACTAATTTACTACCCTTAAGGCTTTCAATAGCTCAAATTAAGTATCATCGTCATAAATGAGTATGTATATATTGTTCAATTTCATTTCATTTTTGAGACGAATTAACTCGGTAGCGCGCAGGGGTTAATCCTCAGAAACCACACCGGACCACAGCATACGTAAGAACCACATTAGTGCGGATTGGGACTCTGAATTTTTGACGAATAAAAACTTAATGAGAAAAGCAAATTGAACTCTTTTGTAAGGTAAAAGTTTCTTAGAAATTCAATGTAACAATTGCTAAAGTGAGAAATCATTTACTAACTAGAAAAATTTGTTATAATGAAATGACAAATTTGAAAATGAAAAGACGAAACAATGTTTCGCTGGTGAAAATTCACACTAGTGTGGTGTTTAAAAATTAATAATGTTTAATGCGGTTTGTGTTTTATTTAGAACACCGCAGAATCTTTAATAAAGTAATAAAATTTCCGTTTGATTCGAATTTCTGTAAAATGATCTATAAAAATTAATTTTCCGTAAAGTATTGCGAATAGTTACCAAATTTTATATTGCGTGTACCAATTAGTAATATACTATTGTTTAACCAGTTTGAATATTTTTTCCTTAAAATATTGAAGACCAAAACAGTTATTTCCAAACAACATTCCCTGTTAATGATATTCCTCATTCCTTCTCCGTAATCTTACGTTATTCTCATTGACCGATAGGGCGAGAAGATACATCAAATTTAACCCTGTCGCTGCGGTAGATTTCGACATAAAGCATGTGTAGCAAACGGCAGATACATATCTAACCGTGATTGACGTTGCAAACCAAAAGAACGTTTCGTCAATGACAACGGTTGCTCAAGATTTCAAGCTACAAGGTGACAACAGTTGCAATAGTATGCCCTTGAAAATCATGGAAATAACAAGTATTTTGTAGCAGTCGCTGTTGAGAACACAGCACCAATATTTGTCGGTGAAAATGAACGGAATTTCAAAACGTCTATAGGTTCCACTAGCAGCGAAAGGGTTAAACTTTACGGGAACAAGAATTAAAAAGTACCTAGATGAATTGATTTACTAGACAAAGAACAAGATAGGGTCTGTGTGGCAATTCGTGTAGCTCCTATTTTATTGTGTTTCACTTAATTACGACTGTTATAAATTCAAGATGTTAAATAGGAAAAAATATATGGGGTGATTCTACATGCAAAAATAAGTCAAAAATGTTGAACAATATTTTTTCATACGATGCTATGCTTCGTTTAAGAAATAATTAACTTTCACAATTAATCTAAGGCGTACGTATGTATTCAGGGACAATAAGTAGAAACAGAATGCTATGAACGGACACATTAGCCAAGTCCTCTTCAATTGCACGTGTATACAGCAGATTTTCAAATTCGATTTTCTCGATAACGAAACATCGTACGAACAAATGTTATTCTAAATATATTTTCGACTTATTTTTGCATGTAGTATCACATCCTTTCGGATCGTATCATCATTTCGTAAACACCCTGTATAACTAAAAATCGAACGTTAAACCGCAATTTTGTAACGCCTGATTTCTTTCTTGTTTTGTTACTTAGAATCACCCCTTCAAGTTTCTTCCATCTATTGCAGTTACACCCTGTACAGAAAATCTGCAGTTTACTTACTAAGAAAATAGAATTATATCTCCAACTAAATTAATTATTTTTCGTCTTTTTATATTCATTAATGTAATATTCTCGTTTTGTGGGATTATTGGCGCAACGATGTAAAATGTTAGCTGTCTCGAAAGACAGTAATGGCTTTACCATTAGTAGACTACCGAATTTTATGCATTTATAGCCTGTACAGCTCTGCGAAATACAATAAAACACAAAACCTTCATCGAAAGCTGCGATTATTTCTATTTTATTTTGAAACCAAGCAGATATTTTTGAGGGTAGGAAAATGTTCCAATTTTAGTTCTTGCCTTTATGTATTACCTTATAAAATGTCACTTTGTCTCTAAATTCGCAGTCTAGTCATTAGAAATGGGTTCTCATGAATGGTTAATGCTTTCCACGAACATTTTAATATAACATAACATTAATGTATTCAGAGGTTCGGTGGATGGATTGACACTGAAATTTTAATTCGTGTCACGTCTATCAAAAATGCGCGTCATTCTATCTGACAGAATTGTATAATTCGAGAGAACGATTATATTCTCGGCACATATTAACCACCGTGAAAATTACAGAAGACGGAGCAGAGAATGCAAAACGAATCGTCTAACAGCTCCACTTATAGAAAATGCAATTTTAACGGACCGTTATAAATCTTATTAGATGAACTCTCCCAGGTATTTGAATATCATTACTATTGATGCTCCATCCAAGAATAGAAAAATGATACGTACACAAGGTGAGGCACGAAACACGATCAGTTTAGCTTATTCTACTGCAACCTGTTCGATCGAAAATTTATTCGCATGCTTAACCATCACTCCAGACGTCATAAATAAAACTACGCAGTCGTTTCTTAATAGTTTACGCGAGTGTGTCGCACCTGATGGACACCATTTTGAACATCGTTTCAGTTAAGGTAAATGGTACTTTCTTAATGTTTCTTTGGTATAGAAGGAAAAAAAATATCTGTTAAGATGCTTGCTGACTTCGTCCCAGTATCCGCTAAAAGATGGGCGTGAAAACATTATTAACCCCTAGCCATACGATTGTTTTTACGTCTTCACTCTCAAGAATTACTTTATCGTTAATATTTTCCCAGATACAAAAGTAATTCTATTCTTATAGCGAGTGTTACATTTATCATAAACCTTAAAAGTTAATGCCAGCGAAACAGTATTTCACGTCGACTCAAAGGAAACGAATAATATACATGTTCACTAAATTCAGTTTGAAATCGTTGTCACATTTCTGACTCGATGTAGTAAGGCAAAGGGTTAATCTATTAAAAGTTGAAGGTGACCTTGAAAACTTTGGAAAACAGAGTTGAAAATAAAATTGTTACAATCATCTTAAAGCTCTCGTTGAATCATGTTATACTAACCAAAAAAAATTTCAATCGAAAAGCTAGTAGTAGAATAATCTAGTTGATTACGTTTTCTGGTCCACCCTGTATACATGTGAAAAGAAAAATTATACGTCGCTATAATGCTCGTGCACGGTGTGCCTCGATTTAATCGCTCAGAATTTCGCCAGTGAATCGCGAGCAGATGAGAATTCGCGTCGTGAAAGAATTTTTTGCGCGAAACGGAGGCCCAGGGGATCTCCAAGACGCATCTCTCTGTCTTTTTTCTCGTACATCGAGGGAGAATTTTCACGGTGCGCAACGGCCCCCGCCGAATACGCGTCGAATTTTTCAGGTACCGGGGAAAATAAAATTATGGAGAAAGTATTTCATTCGCGATGCAAATGGGGGGGGGGGGAGAGGCTGCTCTTTGATAGCGGGGCAAAAAGGTCGGTTGTGAAATATTAAAAGGTACAGACGGTCAGGTAATGCGGCGCCATGTTGACTCCGGCTATATTCCAAAGATTCGTCTGAAGGTGTTGCATCCTCTTCTGGTCCTTTTCCTTCTGCGTGTCTGCGAACTTGACTACCAACGGCGCCGAGCATCCCTGGAACAGGAAAAATATAAAAGTCCATGAAATTTATACGTTTCTACGCAACGAATTCGACGGGAGAAGAGTTTTCATAGAATGTAGATGGAAATGATACGACTAGGTCGTAAAATAGACTCTCTGCAAGCGAGTTCTATTTGATGGTACAATATGCTGGATTTTATACATACATTGTTACATTTCACTGCTTTAAAAAAGGGTAATATAGTGAAATCCCTGTATCCGTGGTTGGCCCTGATTCGAGAGTATTAAATACAAAATTCTGAAATTCACTGAAAGAGATGTTTCCTAGGACTGATAGCCAATAATAGCAAATATAAAACCGCAATGCCTATATCATTTACTTCATCTCGCAAACTTATTTTCAAAATTTCTAAATTCCCGTTAGATCACTAAAATCAGGGTCACTGAAGAAGATGATCCATCTGACTGATGGTCAATAATAGGAAATATAAAACCGCAATGCCTATGTCATTTATTTCATCTCGCAAATTTATTTTCAGAGTTCCAAAATTCTTGACAGATCACTACAATCAGGGTCACTGAAGAAGATGATCCATCTGACTGATGGTCAATAATAGGAAATATAAAACCGCAATGCCTATGTCATTTACTTCATCTCGCAAATTTATTTTCAAAATTCCAAAATTCTTGACAGATCACTACAATCAGGGTCACTGAAGAAGATGATCCCTCTGACTGATGATCAATAATAGGTATCTCATCAGACAGGCATTCTATGAGGGTTGTTTCCAAAGTTCTGGGATTTGCGATCTGCCTGAATAATGCACGGATAATGACGAATGATTTCAAGTACATAGATGACCTGACAAGTTTCCCCAACGATATTAGTCAATGCCGATCAGAATGACTTAGCCGCTTGGCGAACACGGATGTGTTTTTATGTGTTAATTTTGCAACTATGGATGAAGTCGGAAGTTCTCAAAGAGCCATTATTTTCTTAAAAATAATTTTAAACGAATTGCGCTGCGAATTACTCACACATCTACTTTATTCGCCTGATCAGAGACCTAGCAACTATCAAATGTTGTCAAAATTGAAAAAACCACTACGTCATGGACGATTTCAGGATTTAAATGACTTAATGAAGAAACTCTAAAAGCTTTTGCAGATGGCCTAAAAACACTAATTTCGTGCTGGAACGAGTGCATACAGTTAAACAAAAATTATATTGAAAAATTGTACTGTAATATAGACGAAAGGAATAAAATAAACAAATTATAACACAATTCGCAGAACTGTAAAAACATCCCTCGTATCATTATCACATAACTTTTAACATTATATTTTCTTATTAGTTACATTAATATATTTTATCATTAATTAGTTTTGTCAATATCTAGTTGTGGACAATTAATAAATTATTAACTGGTGAAATGAAATAACTTGAAAAATAAGAAGCTGTAGAAGGAAGTGGAACATACTAAAATAAGAGTTAATTTAAAGCTACAGGCCGCGGTTTTATTCTTCAAATCGCTAGAAACTTTACGGATGACTCAATGAAATAGTAGTTTAGACGGTCCGTACGACTCTAGCAAGGGAAGCACCTAACTTTCCCTCACTGTGATTTTCACGTATACATTTTTGTTGGACGAACCAGTCACGATAAGAAACAGCGAATAAAGTTCATTGAAATTTATCGAAAATGAAACTGAACATCGAACAGATCAGCGGTTCTCGCTTAACATCCTACGCCATTGTAACTTCATTCGAAGAGGTAGACATTGGCCGCACATCACCAAGATATATAGCTTCAATTAATTATATCTCTGAAATTATCGTGCGTCTACACCTAATATTTCACGAACACCAACAACTTGATGTACTACCGTGCTTCGAAAGTGAGTCAAATTCGAAATGGGAGAAAACAGGGTATTCCCATGTTAGTGAGAATCAAGATCCTTCACACAATTTTTAATTTTGTTTGTCCCAGAATTTCATATATAAGCATTTTAATTGTATATGAATTTATGACCGTAATGTATGTTTTTCAAGAAGAGTGGAAAGAACGAGGATCAACGGACGGCAAGATCGACTTCTGTTAGAAGAAATTGGGCCATGATCGATTACTTTCTACTAGACTGAACAGAAAGTTTTGACGTTTCTTTGCTGTTTAAACACGACAAAGTATTCCATCGGTGTACGATTACAACACAATAAATACCATTTGGAGTACTATAGTTATGACAATTAGTTGCCTTAGCCCTCAGAAGACAAACATTTTCGATGATCGAAAAGACAGATATTTTTGATGATCAAGAAGACATGGGTCCACATAAACCCCCACTCATCTGACTTTAGATGGTGTTTTGGTAGGAATTTTCTTAAATTATTTGCATTTTCTTATAAAATACTAATTTAAACAGCTACACGCTTCTGTTAGTTTCTGTAAGGTAGAGTGTGGTGCTTCTGAAATCTTAGATTAAAATGGACCCAAGATACCGCAGTATGCAAGGGTGAAATCATCTTTTGCCTTTGGCTGCCCAGAACGTAGCACAGTCTCTACATTAAAATCACGTGATCGAAATCTCCGATACTACGCTAGATACATTCGAATCTTGTTGACACCTTCTTCATACATTTCATGAATGTTTTTTTTATCGTTTACGTGATAACAGTGCCGATTAGTAGTAATTTCTAAAAGTAATTAATTGAGGGAGTACAGCATAGACTTTTCAGATTTGCTGCTTTTAAGTTAGGTCAAAAAATGACTTTTATGGATCACGACTAAAGTCCAACCATGAATGAGCTAACTCTTTTGAATTTCGTATGACTAGCTGTTCTGCTTTTCCTATTCAAGCTAATTAATGGTATTCTTGGCTGCTACAATTATTAGAGTTAATAAATTTTTATACACCAATGAGATCTTTTGAGTGTTCATGAACGCCTCTCTCACATCGCTACACATTTGTCTTCGCTGACTCTGATTTTGTAAATCGTATATGTATTGCTACAAATTTGTTTTGCAATGTTTTAGATATTTTTGTGAGTAATACTGACTCTTTCCGAAATTCTGCATTTAAACTTTTGCAAGTTTAGGTGACACGTCCTCTTTTCTACACGTTTGCGTCTTCTCTTGCTTACAACCCACTTTATGTACATTAATGGGTCTTATCAATAAAAAAATAAATTTTTTCAAATTTTGATTCAATAAATAAATAAATAAATTTTTGAAACTCACAAAGCAATTCGTGACGAATATGTATTCGATCATCCGACAGTTTTTTTAGATTTTTATTACTATCGTGAAAGTATGGGACGGAATAACAAATACGTTAATGAAATATGTAACAGAATGTTTCAACGGCATCCCGTAACAAAACACAATGGATAACATTGGATTAGATGCTAACAAATAAATCAATCGTATTTGCAATTTCTCAGTCCGGTAAAAACAGCATTCGCGAGGATTCACGGGTTCGCTGTGAGAATAATGTAATAATTATGCGAGATTTGGAATTCAGAGAGTTTTCTACAATACGCGAGTGTACTCATAAACGAGAGCACGAAACGCGAGGCTGTTTACGCGGGGAATCGGAAGCATGAAATCGTGCCAGTTAAGTGAACCACGACGAGCAAGTTCGAGGAACCTGCGACAGGAAATATTCATGATATCAAAATGGAATTGCCGACGTACCCGCATGCCTTGGCACGATTTGCTTTCACTGTTCGAAATAGTGCATCGCATAGGCGTGTATCCCAGTGGAACGGGAAGAAACAATTCCGCAGAGTGTGTGGAATTCAGTACGAAGACCCCCACCCCCATCCCGTCTCCCCTCTCCACCCCATCTAGCTGCTCCCTCCATTATAGTTACATTAAATTACCCGATACATCCGCTGAAACTTTTATCGGATTCCTTCCGAAATCGAAACAGAAATAGCGGCAATATTACAACATTATATACCTACAGGGTGATTCACCTAACGTTACCATCTCAATTACTCGTAAATTAGTGTATCAAATAATATTTCAAAACAAAAGTTGCGTGGCATCAAAGAGGACATACAATGCAATAATATGTATATGTTTTGGTACGTTACATTTTTATCGAGATACAACGGTCTCATCTTCTGTTATTTAAAGGGAATGCTGAATATTTCTTTCGAAATTTCCATAAAGCGCCAAATACTACATGCAAGAGTATTACATCATTTTTGGGCTAAACTGAACAGTTTCGGAGATATCAGTCAAATACATTTTATTTTAAATAATGTTCATACTGGCTTGCTGGGGTAATTCCATCGACATTGATGATCAATTTTACAAAGCCAATGAGGGTTTTCTATTGAACAGTATTACGTTATTTCTTAAATTCAGAATATATCTTCATAAATGAATACAGTAAATCCTCGATGAGTGTACGAAACCTCCTCGGCATTGACAAGGAGAGATCACCAGATGTAACGCTGATTTTTTAATGAGGTTTAGCAGTGATACCACTTTGAATTCTGAAGCCAATTGTATTTGTTTTAGTCGAATATGGCCATTAATTTATGAAATACTTAATGTTCAGTGTCAAAGAGCCTTCAAACACTCATCGAGGATTTACTGTAGAATGTGCGGTGACTGAAAGTAAAAGTAAGAACGAAGGTGAGTGTGAAGAGTACATAGTGTGTGTTGAGGCACTAGGTGGGCACTTCGAACGTTTTCTTTAATTATCCATAACTCGAAAACTAAAGTATATAGGACATACGTTCAGATAACATTTTTCACTTATATCAGTCTGTAAACTTACCCCCCGAAGTATTGACATATATTTACGAAGCACCCTGTATATTTAAAAGTAAATTGTATCAATGGAAATCCTTTTCGGCCCCCTTGCGCTGGGTTCAAAATGCTCTAACACAAAAATAGAAGATTGAGCGGTCTGGGACATAGAAATTCTTATGCAGGAGTCTAAAATCTACAACATATCAATAAAAGTTGAGCCAATTTGACAGGGACCGGTTTTTCTCTACAAAATGTGCGGATTCCTTTGGCCGTCTACAGCCCCGAAATGGTCAATTATCGAGCTTCTACTGTACTCATCGATAGACGAAACACTTCTTTATCGACCGGGACGAGATGAAGACGAGCAACGAACGGGGGAGGGAAGAATACCTAGAGAGGTCCGTGTCAGCGGGGACAAGAAAAGAAACGTCGGAAAAGTCGCGCGTTTCGAATCATCGGGGCGTTGATTCGTTCAGCAGTTTTTTCTTTGCTCGGTTTCGGTTAGCCGGAGTTAAATTGGTATATCATCGAGCCGAGGCGAGTGTACTGCCGGGGTTGTGGATGCACGGACAGTTTCCTCGGGTGATAGTGGCACCGAGCCAATGTCCGACGACCTCATTGAACCGCTATGAAAAGAAACGAGCCGTGCACTCTTAACGAATCTCCTCTTTCTCTCGTTTTCTCATCTCCTAGCCAACTCCTCTATGCGTGCGTGTTCGTTCCACCATTGGCTGTCTAATTTTGTTTATTTCACTTCGAACGGGATAAACGCGATGATTCTTTCAGCGTTTAGAGGTACATAGGTGTCTATTTGAGAGTGAAACTTGCCCGAGGAACTCTCGAGAGTATTTCACGGTAGGTGGACACTGCGTCTTAGAACAATTGTTCTCATTCAACTCTCGGAGAGTGGACATATGTTGGACATTTTTCTCGAATTGATACATGGATAATATTAGTTAATAAACTAGGGAAACCTATGTACAGAACTTGTTATAACTATGTATGAGCCATTTCTGAGCCATTTCTGAGCCATTTAGGGATGGTCACGCTTGAACAGCGTCTTATAACTGCAGACATAATTTATATTTATAAAATAGTAAACGGATTTATTATATGCCCAGATTTAATAGAGCTAATAAACTTCAAGACTCAATCTAGATATCTCAGGCATAACGATCTGTTCCATATAAACCATTAATTATTGTACCACGTCTGGACTATATAATTGTATTGATTGGGTCTGTAAATCTGCTAATACCGTTAAGCACTTCCATTGACTGTTTTCAACATCCCCAAACTCTTTTCAGAAATCAACTGTACTCACTTATACGATTGAAAAATTGTGTAAGGTGAATGTACCGTTACACGTTATCAACTATGTATTCCAATTACTGTATGTATTTTGTTACCGAAGGGTAAAGACCCGTAAATAAATAATTATTATTTTTATTATATTATTACTATCGAATACCATCATTCCGAAATACGGAAGCAGTTTTGGTATTTTGAGAGTACTATCGTGAGGAGTAGAGAATAATTTGATAACAACAGCACGAAAGGAATGTTCGAAGGATGAAACCTTTAAATTAATTAACGTGTACGGAGAGAAATCTGTATTATGGAACACTAAAGATATTATTTATAGAAACAGAGATAAAAGAAAATAACACAATAAATCGTAGCAAATTCTCAATGTAGATACGTAGGAATACAACGTGCGATGTATAATTTTGAGGAATCAGATAACGTATATAAAAAAGTAAATAAACTTAAATAAATATGTTATCCAAATTACAGATGTCACAAGAATTAAACAAAAGAATGAAAAGATAAAATCGCGAGTGGAATCGATGAGGTGAACGTTTCTAACTGGCCATATTTTACAGCTCTAAAAGTTATGACTCCTGTACTTTCTATGAACACGATACAATCTTCACTTATTTATTGAATACGTTATAAGGATATAACAATTATACAGGGTGTCGTCAATTTGAACGTCAAAAGTTCAGAACCGTGAAGGAAATTGATAACCTAAAAAAAAAGTCCTTTCGAGATTTTTACTCCATTTTGAGAAAACTGATAATATTGTTACTAGAAATTTTCCTGATGATAATTGGATCACTATGACTCAATCTGTCAATTGCTCTCTTGATTTGACTAGCATCGAATAAACTTTCTGCTTAACAATCTTAAACTAAAATTAATTAAAACCATATTTAAATTTGATTTTTCATTAAATTGACGACAACACAAATAAGTGAAAGAAATGAAAACTTGTTTGTTTCCTGTTTAGAGATTTTCTTCAAAATCGAGCAAAAACGAGTGAATCTTTAAAGGCCTTTTTTTCTTAGTTTACTGGGTTTCAACATGCTCCCGAAGTTTTGACATTTAAACTGGACCCTGTACATGTCTATACTGCCATGAAACTTCACCTAACGATATATACGCATTAAATTCTGTCTGAAATCGTCCCTTACTTGTTTTTTGAGAAGCTGTACAATTATTTCATTTAAAATTCGTTATTTAAAATGATTATAAAATGATATAATTCATTATTTGAAATTCCAAATCGATTTCCGCGATTTAATGGAAAGAAGAGCTTTTCTGCAGCAAAATAGTGTGTTGATCTATCTACAGATTAAAGGGAGATCGTTCTTTTTTCTTCAAAAATTCTTGAAGCTCCGTTCTACTAACCTCCATTGTTTGCGAATGATGAAGAGCTTTAATGGCGTTGATCGCGTATTGTTTACTAGCGAAGGTAACGAAGGCACAGGCTCTACTTTTTCCGGTGCTATCCCTCAGCACCGAGCACTCTTCGATAGTTCCGTAGACACTAAACATGTTCCTAACGTCGTTTTCGGTGAACTTCTTCGACAGCATGCCGACGAACAGCTTGCGTTCTGGAACAAAGAAATTGTGATAACGTTAGTACGTTTGCTTCTCTAGAAATAGTTAAAGAAAGAAGGTGGGGTTATTTATACAGGGTGGTCACATAGGGATTCACACTTTTACGGGTTCTTATTTATTCTTGTTTCGTGTAAATAAGTAAACTTCTACTGTATTTGAAGTAGTAGTTTAACTGTATTATGTTGAAATTTTAACTTGGGATCCATAAATTCTTTACTAAATCGCGTTTAATTGCACTATGTATTATATTTATTCTGTTATTTCTGTTATTAATATTTGTATTCTCTTTTTTCAATATACATGAAGATTAATATTCGGAGAAATAATTATTTATAAGAAATTAATCCGCAAAATTTATGTATCCTCGCATTCGTGTTCTCAAATTTATTTGAATGCAGGCGCTTCTACTGCATTTCGCTTTTGTAGACAATTTAAAATTAGCCCAATGTGGGGAATATTGTGTTTTCGTACGAGACTTAGTTTTTGATAAAATCCAACACTGAAAATTTATCCGATACATACGCATTTGCGTTTGCAATATAACTATTTTTAATTAATTACAAAAGTAATTACCCAATTACGAAAATTATGAAAATCACGAAATTTTAATTCGTACTATTAATTTATTTTTGCATAACAATTTTCATATTTTTGCATCACTTACTACCATGACTTAGACCGCACCCTAACCGAAGGTTATCACGCATGTTTGACCAAATGACAAATTACAAAAACATATCAGAAAAAGATGATAAACGTAAAGTTAATGAGGATATATAACTAGATTACATAAAATTCTCTACACTTAATTATTAATCCGAGGGTATGTCGATGAATGTTTCAGACATTGTATGCACCGGACTAGTCGCTAATAGATTTTATCGAGCAGTTGATGCGATCGTTAACACTTTACTGACCAGTAGCCTATGAATAGACTTTTAAATTTTAGTGCGTATAGATAAGAAGCCTATTAATTTACCCTTAAATTCATGGAAAATAGCAAGAGTTCTAATAGAATAACGTAGCGATTTCTTTTTTAATCCTGATGTAAGGGTAAATTAATAGGCTTCTTATCTATACGCACTAAAATTTAAAAGTCTATTTGCTACTGTGACTGAATTGTTTAATATTGGAACTACCAAGCAGCCAAAATGATTGATGAGTACATTCTTATAACGAAATTGTTACAACTATGCATTTTCTCAAATTGTTTACAACTTTTATTGCAATACGAAAGTGACAGAATTAGTTAATTTATCCATATATACATATAAAAGAAGTCCTGACTGACTCATCAACGTCCAGCTCTTACTGTTTAACCTAGGAACATGAAATTTGGAAGATGCGTTGTTTTTATGCCGTAGGCATCCGCTAAGAACGGGTGTAAAGGGGTGTAAAGGGGTAAAATGTATTTTCTAGGAATTTTCACTATCTCTTAGCCCCGATGAGATATCCCACTCCATTTTAATTAAAAATGCTATTCATATAATAAGTGTAATACTTCACCGCTTTTTGCTTCAAAATGCTACTTACATAAATGCCCAAAAAGTAATTTCACCATTTTTTTAATTTCCATTTCCAGGGGGCGAAAAGGTGTCCGAATAAACGGGGATAAATGTAATAATATAATACATATTTTTTGTTTCTTTTTTATTCTTTTTTCTACAATTCAGTTTAAAAGTTTTATTTAAAAAAGAATATAGCCAAGTCTCGAAAACCACGCGAGTGAAGCCGTGGGCAAAAATCTAGAAAATTTATATATTTTCAAAAGTTTGTCATGTTTACCGATTCGATAAAAATAGATATACATATAATAGATCGTCGGTAGTTCGAACATTAATAATTGTTCCTTGGCTGTTAATCGTTGGATTTACTAAGTAATATGTTAAGAAAAAAAAAAAAAATTCTACACTTAATAAGGCTGGAGATCTCGAGGAACGTTACTGCTACTGTCGTCACGCGGTTTTCCCGTTTAATAAGCGTCCGCCGCGTATAACGCGCCTGGTCAGCTACGGACCATTTGACGATGACAGGTGGCGAGAAGAGGCGAAGGTGGCCCGGTCAATATTTGTTTAGGACCAAGAGAAAAGCTTTACCCGGAGAAAAGCCGCTTATGTAAATTCAGAGCGTCGCGTAGGGTCTCCTGCAGCGACGCAAAGTAGCCGGTTGCATCTCTGAATATCTCTATTCGCGCTATCTCCCTTCACCCTTTCGGCCGGGCCATCCGCCAACCCCATCGAGTTGATCCAACCTTTGATCCGGCGTTACCGCGAGCATTTTCGCAGCGGGCAACCGGTGCACTTTTCGAACCTTTTCAACCTGCCAACCTTTAGCGGCGAACAATCAAACCGTTCAGACGTGTTTGAACATCCACCGAGGAGTCTTAAACAGTTCAAGCCCATTCTGATCACGACGAGGCGTTCGAACAGCTTCAAAATCGTTTATAAACAGGCTGATGACGTAGCAAACTTCCATTCGATGACTAGACTACGGATGTATATGCATTTAAGGGGTTATGCCTACTTGCGAGGTCGAAAAAAGATATGTACATTCGGAATTTATTTTTAAAAAACTTGAAGACTTTTTTAAACATATGTCATTGCATTCGATAGTGTACATTTTAAAGTGCTTATAGTAATTTCCGCAATGCAAAATATGAATAAATAGGGGAAATATCAGCGATCTCACGGCGGCGTTTTGCGGTGACCACTGTAACTTCGAGTTCGTTTATCTGAAATAAAAAATCCGAGCAAATTTAGTTAATATATTAAATTATCTAGTGCCCGATCGTTCATTATCCTGAAAAATTAATTTACGAGAAAATGGCGGCTGTTCAAAATCGAAGTATCGATTTTCGCCAAAAAAAATCGTTCATTTTTGATCTATAAAATAAAAATTACGCAATGAAATACAAAAAGCCACAATCAGGCTCTAGATTTTTATGTGTAGAATGAGTCCAACAAAGCTGAATCAGTTCGGTGTAGCAGTTCTCGAGATATTTTGGTCGCCGATTTTGAAAATGTGGTTTTGAGAAAAACACGTTTAAAGTTTCAACTCAGGTTTACAATCAAATCAATGCAAATTTTTTATATATAATTATTCTTAGTATTACGGCTTCATATAGCTTTGTGTATTTAATAACACAACCATAAATTGCATTGGGGCACAGTATTCATGACTCACGCACCCCTAGGAAGGGATTCCACCACTGTATATCTGCTCCGAAACTTCCAAGGCAGTATACTTTAAACGGGCATAATTCTGCTAATTTTGGTCGGATCAACTTCAAACTTTCACACAATATTTTTAAAACGATGTACTGTACAAAATATTAAAATCCAAAAATCGATTTTTTCAAAATTTATAGGTAGGCACAACCTCTTAATAACGTTTTTTAACTTGGAAAATAGAATAAAATAAAGGTTTTAATGAAGTTTAATGTTATTTGTTTCTTATTTAATAATAGTAGAACCTGCAGTGCAATATTGAAAATTCTACTGCAATATTGAAATCCTCGATGAGTGTTCGAAGGCTCCTCGGCACTGAACATTGAATATTTCATAAACTAATGGCCGTATGTAGCTGAAACAAATATTATTGGCTTCAAAATTCCAAGCTCTATCATTGTGCTAAACCTCATTAAAAAGTCAACGTTGCACCTAGGGATCTCTCCTTCTCAGTGCCCAGGAGCCTTCAAAGACTTATCGAGGATTTACTGTATTATGGTACGCTTGAAATAGTACTACATATTGATCATCGGGAACTGAACGCGGTGTGAACGGAAAGTTCTTCATCACTCATCAGTAGACTGCGGATTTTTATGCAAAATAAAAGTTTCTAAGTAATTTATACAGACAGCAGCAATTGCAGAAAGTTATTTTCCCTCTAAAGTGTCTAATTGGGTTCAGAATGAAATGGAAAATTCGTTGGATCCGAAGAAAGTTTTGTTTTTTATTGCATTTCACAGCGCAGCGGTAAATGTTTTAAAGTCTGGACCACGACTAACCCATGTTTCTCATCCGGGCGTTAACCCTTTTCCATCGAAGTCCAGAAATCTTCCATGAAGGTGTGATTTCGATAGGACTGCTAATCGTCACGTCTGGCAGCGATTATTAGCCGTCACGTCCAACTGTTTTCCGTATAAAGGTAGACCTGGCGTCCGACAGTTGAGATTTTTCTTTCGAAAGGAATAGATTGTTGCGTTTATGTATAAAATTGATCCTAAAATGGTAGCCTTATCAACTTTGATCGAGGATCAGGAGGAAGAAATGCTGATTTAGTTATTATTAGCAAAAAGTGCTAGAGTTTCTGATATATGTATATCGAACAAGACACGAGGAACGCTACTTCGAAATATTAATAACGTAATATTTCCAAGGCGATAAAAAGAAATTTAGGGAATTTTTCAGACTGAACCAAATTTGAGTTAATTAAGGCTATAAAACCTATAGAGAACATATAACTGTCGGGTCTGGATTGGCCTCGAAGCATTTCGGATGTAGCAGTCTACTGCTCGCTATGTAGATGCGGTAGTCAGTTGCTCAAGTGAAAATATGTACATTAGTTTCCATAAAATGAGATAGCGACTGCCAGACGTTACTACAAGACGCGAAGACTAGCAGTCCTACCTAAATCATACCTTCAGCTTCTTACCGACGGAAAATACGAGGTTTGTTTCCAAAGTTCTCCGAATTGCGATCTGGCTGAATAATGCAGGTATAATGACTAATGTTTTCAGGTACAGTCCTGACAGGTTATCCGAACGATGTTAGTCAATGCCGATCAGAATGATTCACCCGCCTGGCGAACACAGAGGTGTTTTTAAATGTTAATTTAATTACTATAGAAGACGTTGCAAGTTTTCAAAGAGTCATTATATTTTCTTAAAAATTAGTTTTAAACAAATTGCGCTAAAAATTACTCCCACATCCACCTTATTCGCCTAATCAGACATCCAGCAACTATCAACTATTGCTAAAATTGAAAAAACCTC